CCCGCAGCTCCGTGGCCGACTCCAACAGTCATATAGTGCAGCGAAAATTCGTCTTGGCTTATACCGTCATTAATGCTAGTGCCCTGAGGCGCAGATAAATGCAAAATTAAGCGAAGTTTAACCGACTTTTTGGGGACCACGCCTACACCAGAGCAGCGAAGATCTGCGTGAGGTAAGTGGGTTTTCGGGCCGGCCATACGACCCTCGATGCATTCATTAGACAGGTAATTAGAGACAGCTTGGGGGTTCTTAAATGCAGAGACTAAATTGGGAGCAACAAAATGAGAGCGATCACCGGAGTAACCGATTACAGCACCGTCACGCATGTCATGCATAAGAGAGTTAACGAATGCGCGGTCAGGGTGCTTGGCCAGGGCCGACTCAAGCCGATCGAAGGGAACAGGCATCCAGGGCGATTGTTGGTGCAACGGAACGCCTGCTGGCCGGTTGCCCTGTGCGACAATCTCGTACGCTGTGTCCGGAGACGTTGCAGGTGCTGCATTGATGAACGTACGGACAGGGGTTTCGGCGACACACGCCCCGGTTGTAGAGGCGACACTGCTCGGTGGACGAGCGGGCTGCCGCGGAGCTGGACCGAAAGGGCCGCACGGCACGGGCATCGAACACGGTAGTGGACAGTATTCGTGGTGTTGTGTCCCAACGGCGTGACGGCTGGGACGTGATGGCGGAAGGCTCGGTCATACTCCGCAACTGCGGAAAACGTGAATTTCTTGCTGGAGTTCAGAATATGGTGCTGATACAAACAGTTCTACTGCTCTGCCCGGATGCGCATCCAGAGAGACGGCTGCGAATATCGTACATGCTTCTAGCCAATGTTCGATGTCCGAAATGCGTCGGGACATGCGTGGCTGGGAGGACAGCATGAATTTTCCGGGTGTCTCCTCGCCCAACACTAGAGCGTGGGGGCTTGGCACGTCCGTGGCGGTCGGGGGCAACAGTTGTTGTAAATCAACAAATTGGTGTGTGATGATTTTGTCGATTACGGTCTGGGGTGCGTTTGCCCAAATATTTACAGGCCCGTCGTCACGCAGCATGGTGCAGGAAACACTAGACGAATGCACAGTGGACGTACCTGGGGCTGAGGATGCTGTTTGTGTTGCATCTTCCAAATGGTCTAGTCGGTCCATAAACGGTTTCAGGGCAGTCGCGATTGCCACGGACACGGAGGCGACAGGCATAGTAGATTCGGACACGGAGGCGACAGGCATAGTAGGTTCGGACACGGAGGCGACAGGCATAGTAGGTTCGGACACGGGGGCGACAGGCATAGTAGGTTCGCGGGTCTCCCTGTCCTCGACAGTTTGTCGGGCAGCCTCGCTGGGAGTCACAGAGGACGCGTGGGGTCCGACTTCGGATTGTATTAACCGGGCAAGCAGCTCCGCTTTCTTGCCGGCGGGACTAAGTCCCCGTTCCACGAGGTTGAGGCGTAGGTCCCGCACAGTGAGTTTACTGAACGCAGGGGAGGCCATAGTCTCGAATGGATAACGCTAAAGGTACAGGAAACCGACAGTTTTGAAAATTTGGCAAAGAGCTAGTGTTGGAGCAAACAGCAAGTGAGAGTGGTAAGCAACAACAGGAACAAAGAACACGAGTGCATGCACATGTGGGGTCAGATGCGCTGGTAGGTTTAGCTGCCGACAGAGCTAGAGGGGAACACACTCCCTCGTGGCGCGAACCGTGCCCGTGTCACGTGCACAGCGGTGTGCGTGGGCAGCTCAACGACAGCGCTACGGGTAGATGTGGAATGCAGTGTGAAGTAGCGGCATCGCTACTGGTAAATATGGAGTGCTATGTGCAGTAAACGCAGGCGGGCACGCGCTGAGAGAGCGTTACATGCGTGTTAACTACAGTTAATACTACGTATAAACTGAGATTTTAATATACATAAACCCAACTCGTAAAAATAAATAATTCTGTGGACAAAAACAAACAGCTACTGAGCAGGGGCTGCACTGGGCAGCAGTGATGGTGAGGTACCAGGGGCTCCACCGACCAAAGGTCTCGGCTTTAATGTCACACTGTACTGTGGTATGTAATGGCTGCTGTGGATCTGGCACACCTTGAGAAAATGCTGTCACAATGAATGTAACAAAAGGGCTATTGTGTGCCGTAATGGACTGTCCAAGCTGTTAAGGCATCTCTATTATTGGGGAAAGTCTAGATTTGCTGTTGACTGATCCGACTGAGCCAGTCTTACTCTACATAAGAAAAGACGGTGGTTCAGTTCAGTACACGACACTGAGCATTAAAACCTGCTCCCTGAACACCCCCCCCCCCCTTAATTTAATCCACTCGTCGTATGCTTGCAACTGAATGATGGTAATAAAATGAGTGATAGAAGAGGTGGTTTGTCAACTGACAACTGCACTATCCAGTTGCTATTCATGATTCTCTCTGCTGCATTGGATATTCATTAATAATTGTAAATGTACTCAATCTGCGGACAGAACTGTTTCGTCCTTTGCAGGCTCATCAGCTCAGCACAGAGGTAATGAGGCCAAACCTTATAGCAATGAAAATAAAATTTCCAAAGCCAGATGTAATTGTAGATGTGAAAAATATGATGTTTCGGGCCAGTCACCCATCAACAGAATAATTTACAAGGGGGTGGGTGACTGTCTCGAAACGTCATAACCTTTACATCAACCATAAAAGAATTTTCATTTGCAGCGCATGCGTAGATCGTGAATAGCAACTGAATAGAGGGATTATCAGTTGAAAAAACTCTTTTTTCTATGATGCTGTTGCGTGATAACCATAAAATTCTTTTTAGACTTCATTGAAATGAAGTCTAGAGTCAAAGGGACAAGTAACCTACGAGTCATGATTAGCAGTCCACCAAGGTGACGAGACATTATACAGTCTGATAGTGCGACAACAGGCACGCGCAGTGGTTTGGTCAAAGACCAACGTTGAGATACAAGAGGCACCTTGTGCCTGTGAGCGGTTTTCCAGCCGTGCTGCTACCCACTGTTGACCACAGTTAACTGGGAACTTGTGACCAGCCGCTAGTGTTTAACAGTTTGTTAGCGGCTGTCGTGAGTTCTCTTTGGGAACGGACACGATAATTTACTCATTTTAGTGCGACAACAAGGGACAACACTGACAAGGACATTGAAACATTCAACCACCTAACACTTAGCTTTTACATATCTACCAAGCGCAAACCAACAACCTTCCAACTTTGAATGCTCAGATGCGGAGAGTTCCAAGGAGGGAAATTCTCCTCCCATTTCTCTTTGCTTATATACGACTGTATTGGCTGAACATCCGAGTTTTAAGAATTCTAGTGTGAGAATAATTTTATACCCGTATGCATTCATCTACAATATAATCAGTGTAGTGTGCAGCGCACGCGTAGAGTGCAGCGCACTCATAGTGTGCAGCGCACGCGTAGAGTGCAGCGCACGCATAGCGTGCAGCGCACTCGTAGTGTGTAGCGCACGCGTGGAGTGCAGCGCACGCGTGGGGTGCAGCGCACTCGTAGGTTGCAGGGCGCGCGCGCGCGCGCGCGCGTGGAGTGCAGCGCACGCGCAGAGTGCATAGCATGTGTAGAGTGCAGCGCACGCTTAGAGTGCGGCGCACTAGTAGTGTACAGCGCACGCATAGAGTGCAGCGCACTCGTAGTGTGCAGCGCACGCGTGGAGTGCAGCGCACGCGTGGAGTGCAGCGCACTCGTAGGGTGCAGGTCGCGCGCGCACGTGGAGTGCAGCGCACTCGTAGTGTGCAGCGCACGCGTGGAGTGCAGCGCACGCGGGGAGTGCAGCGCACTCGTAGGGTGCAGGGCGCGCCAGCACGTGGAGTACAGCGCACGCGCAGGGTGCAGAGCATGTGTAGAGTGCAGCACACGCTTAGAGTGCGGCGCACTAGCAGTGTGCAGCGCACGCGAAGAGTGCAGCGCACGCGTAGAGTGCAGCGCACGCGTAGAGTGCAGCGCACTCGTAGGGTGCAGAGCGCGCGCGCACGGGTGGAGTGCAGCGCACTCGTAGTGTGCTGCGCACGCCCAGAATGCAGTGCATGTGTAGAGTCCAGCGCACGCTTAGAGTGCGGCGCACTAGTAGTGTACAGCGCACGCGTAGAGTGCAGCGCACTCGTAGTGTGCAGCGCACGCGTGGAGTGCAGCGCACGCGTGGAGTGCAGCGCACTCGTAGGGTGCAGGGCTCGCGCGCACGTGGAGTGCAGCGCACTCGTAGTGTGTAGCGCACGCGTGCACGCGCGCGTGGAGTGCAGTGCACTCGTAGTGTGCAGCGCACGCGCAGAGTGCAGAGCATGTGTAGAGTGCAGCGCACGCTTAGAGTGCGGCGCACTAGTAGTGTACAGCGCACGCGTAGAGTGCAGCGCACTCGTAGTGTGCAGCGCACGCGTGGAGTGCAGCGCACGCGTGGAGTGCAGCGCACTCGTAGGGTGCAGGTCGCGCGCGCACGTGGAGTGCAGCGCACTCGTAGTGTGAAGCGCACACGTGGAGTGCAGCGCACGCGTGGAGTGCAGCGCACTCGTAGGGTGCAGGGCGCGCGCGCACGTGGAGTGCAGCGCACTCGTAGTGTGCAGCGCACGCGCAGGGTGCAGAGCATGTGTAGAGTGCAGCACACGCTTAGAGTGCGGCGCACTAGTAGTGTGCAGCGCACACGTAGTGTGTAGCGCACGCCTAGGGAATTTTACAGAAGACATGTGCGTACATGTACATGGCCGTCTCAACGTTCGTGGACTGCAGGCTTCAAGATAATGTTGGAACCAACGACCGGGGGAAACTCTAGATTTACTCACAACCCCATTCCCCCCCCCCCCCTCTTCCCCCGTATATCGAGAAGTTCCAACACAGGTAAATGACGAGGTCCAGGTCGCAAGGCAAAGGAAGTTGAACACTATGAAGCTCTAATAATTCTTGGGGACTCGTGCCACGACAATACAACATTGACGTCATTTCGTATTTATCCTCTTTTAACCTACACTGTAGTTCTAACAATTCAACACACACGTACCTGCGGCAATGAGGACAAGAACTGAACAACACCCTGGACGAATTCGTGAATCTCCTCTGCATCTGGTCGACGGGCCGGTGGGTCAGCAAGACAGCGTCTCAGCAGGTCCTTCAGCGGGTGGCCGTCAGGGATGCGAGCAAACTCCGCGCGTCGCCGCTCCAGCTCAGGTATAGCAACGAGGCTGCCGTCAGCTGCCTGGCGCGATCTTGCTGCGAACATGAGCTCAATGGAGGGCATCACACCGCTCAGCACGCTCATTGCCGTCACTCCGAACGAAAAGACGTCAAGCGAAAGATCGTACCTTGCTCGGCCAGATTCCGTCTCTTGCAACGCCTCTGGCGGCATGAATAAATGTGTACCAGGCTGTCGGGTCATGGACTGAGCGGCTTCACGGAACTGATCGGCAACGCTAGGCAGTAGCTTGGAGACGCCGAAATCCGTGATTTTGGCCACACCATTGGCAACGAGGACATTGCTTGGCTTCATGTCGCGATGCACCATCGGGATGGAGTGCAAGTAGCGAAGACCAGCAGCAGTGTGTTCGATGTAGCGCATCAGCTGAAGCAAGTCCTGTCTGCGTGCACCAACGCTCATTGTTTCCAGTGTGTCGGACATCAATTCCACCACGATGGCTGGAGTTGTTCCGACCATGCCCACGCCGAAAATAGGACACAGATGCGGGTGGCGAAGACGTGCCATGCGTGCAATCTCTTCTCCAAAATCATGCAGTACGACGTCGCGTCCTTGGTTTCTTCCATCAATCAGGATAGAATGAAGTGCCTTTGCGGCCACCTTCAATCCACACCATTTAGACTTGTACACCACAGCAAATGAGCCTCGACCCAACTCATCCTCTGTTTCATTCACGTCCAATGTACCCAGATAGGGCACTTCAGCCTGGTTCAAGCCCAAAGCGGTGAACACCGCATTCTCCTCAGCGGCCATTCCAGCAACTCGCGTACCGCCGACCACTGGCACTATAGAATAATTGTAAGCGACCAGGGACAAAGTCTTGAAAGAGACGAAAACAAAGTAATGGACGAAGGACGATCGATCGTGAAGTGCGACACCTACTACCAGACTACTAGTACTAGTAGATCTACGTCTAAACCAGGAAATCGTAAAGGGATTTTACGACTCCCTGCCTGGCCTGGTCAACACGGTTGCTGAAGACTGAAGACAAGTACTACCCGACGACAGACAGATAAAATAATTATGACTCATTCATATTGACTTTGTTTTCCATGGACCATGGTTTAGTGATCCTGTTACTGTAGATCTCTACACTGCATGTAGTGTAGATCACTCATGACAGTCATGTCATGATCAGGGAGTCGTGTAGATCACACTACTAATACTGTCTGTAGTCGTGTAGATCTACACATGAAATAGTGGATCTACGGATCTCACGGCTTTACGTGAATTTGCCCTCACTGAACTAAGTCGAAGTATACTATCACTGCCTTGCCGTCAGGCCGTCACCAACAGCGATGGTTCGACTCCCCTTCGCCTTTGCCATGCAAGTCGCGTTGTAGTCTGACAGCGGAAATGAGACAGCTGAGCTCATAAAGGCCGCGGTCACACCGAGCCCGATTCAGCCTTTCAGCCAAAAAAGCCCTTTTTTTGGCTGAGGTTTCCACGGAAACGGCTGAAAATCGGGGCACCAGCCACTTTCAGCTTTCAGCCCTTTTGCCAAGTTTTGGAAGCGCTGAAAAGCTGAAAGTGGCTGAATAATTTTGGCTGAAGTGCAAGAGTGCAAGAGGAGTTGAAGAACTTGAGTTGACGTTTGTTGTAGTCAGGTAGTTTCTTCTTCTCTTGTATTGTAGTTGTGTGAAGTGTTTTTTTAAAGGTTTTCGTTGTCAGCCAGCGAATGAAGCCGGTGCCGGGGGCGATACTGCTCGTTCTCCCAGTCAGAGACAACCCACTCAATACATGTGCCCATGGCCCAGTGCTGGATAACGTCATCGTTCCAGGCACCGGGACTGCGAAGGGCGCACCAAAAACGCCGTTTTCTCCTGCCAAACATTGTCAAGGGCAGTATTGCCAGCAGATCCTCCTCAGTATCGTCTTCATCAACAAAGTCGTAAACGTCTCGCTTCCTCCGGCGACAAAGCCTGGTATTTGTCACCATCGGCAAAGTGAGGTGATTCTCAAGGGAAATTATTCGGATCATCACCATTAAAAAATATAAATTGTGTACTCATAACAACAGCAAAAATGAAGAAAGTCAAGTTCCATAACGATTTCTTGTGACTGTCATCAGTGGAACGCCGTCACATAAAAATGTAATAACTAAAACACACACTTATAATTACATGTAGCTAATATGGTTTCAGGTAGAAATACAGCAGCCAGCAAGTACAAAAAGCGAAGTTTGCACCTTTGCAAATGTGTGAATATAGTGTATGTGAGAAAGGTAGTGGCAGATGAATGTGATACTGTGTGAATGAATGTAATGGTGCGTGTGAGTGAAAACGTTTTCTTTGCAAAGTTGCAAACTTCGCTTTTTGTACTTGCTGGCTGCTGTATTTCTACCTGAAACCATGTTAGCTACATGTATATAAGTGTGTGTTTTAGTTATTACATTTTTATGTGACGGCGTTCCACTGATGACAGTCACAAGAAAACGTTATGGAACTTGACTTTCTTCATTTTTTGCTGTTGTTATGAGTGCACAACTTATCTAATTTATTGCCATTTTACGACTATTGTCTCCTCGTCGATTGTTTAAATCATCACCATTGTACATAATAAAATACAGATAGCGATGCGGCTCTTCGTTTCCGAATCCATTCTCAATCCACTGTGATAAATCGCTCTTCTCTCTCTCTACTCCTCTCTCTTTCTAGCTCTTTTCCAGATCCCTACTTCTCCTTCCATCCACGACGGGGCCCAAGTGGGCACAGGGGTCACAGGGGTCATCCTCCAAAATAAAGAGTGGTGAGACCGCGGCCTAAACACGAGCTACAGCCATGGCCAAAGGCGTGAACAGGCTAGCCACCCAGTGCAGTGCAGCAAGTTCACGGTCTGTCATGGTGAAAAGCGGTTGGAGGCCCTCTCAACCACGTGCTAGCACTAAAAATAATTAGCCGACTTTTCCAGTCGATACTTGTACTTGGCTGACCATTCGTACAAGAAACTCGGCCCAGATTTGTCGAAAACTTGCACTCCAACACAGTCCACAGTATTGCATGCAGGCAATTATTATCGCACCGATCTTGAGCCGTTGAGGATTTCCCACGCGGCCGAAAAATCTGTCTGGCGTGGACCAGACATCAGACCAGGCATCTGAACCGGGAAACTGAACGCACCATTGCTAGCAGTAGCACAATATCGGTGCAGACCAGTGAGTCGTATATTATTATTATTATTATTATTATAGACAACACCTCATGGCATGAGAAGAAAATCAGCCAGTACGGGAGATGTGGGTGTTAACCAACCATGGTGAATAAAAGAAGAAAAGTAATGGTCAAGACGGAGAAGCATGGGAGGGACAGGTGATGGTGAATCTAGTGAGCAGATTTAAATGCGTCCAGGGTACTGGCATTGCGCGTAGTAGCGGGCAGCGCAAGCCAAGCAAAGTAAGCAACAAAGAGTGGAGAGCGTACAAGGAGGACGTTTTAGCCAAGGGGAGGGCAACAGAGCATCTTGTCTGGGAGCCATCTGTGATTCGGAACCAGTTATACACGTTAAGATGAGGAGGATGTAGAGCTAGTTTAAATTTGCGAGCAAAAGTGCAAATTAATTTTTGACGGTGGGTCGACAGTGGGCAAGCATTTGCAAGGACATACAGGGAAGCAGAAGGGTAGAGAGGGGGTAGACTAAACAGGATACGAAGAAGTTTTCTATGGTGGATTTCGAGATGCTCAGCGAGAACCGAGGACAAGCCACACCAGCTAACAGTAGTATATACCCGGGTTACCCCGGTGTACGACTCCCTGGTGCAGACCAGGGGGTCGTAAAAGCACTTGACGACGGGCAGTGGATCCAGTTCCATCAACTGTTCTTTGTCTACTACAGACAGTACACACAGTACAGGACTTGTTTTTCGTGTACTCTGACAAGAAAATGTCGCGTTCTTAAAAATCTTGGAGTTCGTTCTTAGATCCAGGCTGGGGCGTTCTTAGATTTCCAGCCTGGACGTTCTTGGGCGCCACGTTCTTGGGCGTACGAGTCTATTGTAGTGTAGACTAGTGTAGTACTAGTATTACTACTACATTTTATCACTCCCTTAGTATTGACTCACATAGATTTTTGCCATACCTAAGCAGTCAAATATTCCTGCATATTTCACTCCTTAGGGCTGTATTGACTGCTTATATTTGACTGCTTAGGGGTCGCGCAGTTGAACGGACCGGTACGCGGTGCCTACTGCAGCATTGTCACTGCATGAGTAGGTGGTGGTGCAACGGTTGTGCAATCATAAAACCGGGATTCACGAGGTTATCGTTTTGGAATTTGAAATACGGACTGTTTGTCGTGATAAATCTAATATTGACTTCGTACTTGGTCAGTATAGGAAATAAAAACCTCGTAAAAGACCTCAGCTTCGCCTCGGTCTTTTACTCGGCTTTTATTTCCTATATTGACCTCGTACTCAGTCAATATTAGATACGTATTACATTTGTACTTGTACTGCAGTATACCAGGTATACCGGCGGTACCGGTAGTACAAGCGAAATCGCTCACCGCTGCTTGTGAACAGTTACCATTGGAAACGTGTGTGTTTGTTGTGTGTTGACTAGTACTAGTACTAGTACTTCAGTACTACTACTAGTACTAGTATTGTGTGTTGACTACTACTACATGTACTAGTAGTAGTACTAGTGTTGTGTGTTCGCTTGCACATGACTTGTACACATGTGTATGTTTTGGTGTGACCATGGGGACCAACTGATCAAGTAAGTACGTAACCTCTATTAGCAGTCGGGGAGATGTCCTATCTAGGACATCGCACTCTGAATGAGTCTGATTGGTTACCTGTCCCAGAGTTGTCATGGAAGCGTCGGTCGCGCACACGCGATGAAAAGAAGTGCTGCGTGAGCATTTCTGAATGTATGTAAAGGATGCACGATCGTAATGGCGATGGATTTCTTTCCGAATTGGTCAAGTTTGAGGGAATAGGCGGAGAATATCAGACATCGGCGGGGATTGAGGTAGTGTATATTCGATTCGCCATCGAATACCCGACCGAATGGCCGTTTTCGTTTGGGGATTTCATGTGGGGTTTCTCGTAGCCACGCGGCGCTTCTTTGCCAAAGACTTTGGAAACGATTGGTTCAAATTATTTTGAATGTTTTGCCTTTGGTATGTTTCTTCCAGGGAGTGGTACTACTCCCTGGTTTCTTCACGCCCCGTGCGTTCATTTCGCCCCAAACCTGGCCATGCAGAGGAAGAAGACGAGGCAGCAGGCGCTAGGCCCGTAAAATACTGCCTTGAAGATATTATTTGGCCGAAGCTTGCTTTTGGCGTTTTTGATTTCTTGGATACGACAGCTCTTGGCTAAAACTGGACCTTGGACGGTCTTTCTTGGATATCAACCCAGGACGTGGTGGTCATGGACGTATCGCCATCGCTTTCAGCCAGATCCTTCTGCTGCCTGAAACCAATGGCGAAAGTAAAAACTTTATCGCAGCAGCAGCTACTGCTCTGCTGAAAGTGCGAACACAAATCATGCTTCGCCAATCCTCTTGTGCACTTGCAATTTTCAATGCGACCAAAACGATTCGCTTGCCAGTTCCTTTGTCCAGGCGTACTCCACAACGAGGAAAATAAAATTCGTGAAGGCAAGAGGCAATATACGAATCTCGACTCGCTTGAAGCAAGCCGCCAGGAGAACGACAACTATTATTACTTTTGAGACGAAAAGCCTTCGGTGCGTTTGTTTTGAGTGCGACATATTCATCTTCCTCGGACGCGACACAAAGTTTTGAGTCACGTGTCACGATTACTATGGGAACAGCATAGTGTGTATGCTGGGGCATGCTGGGTTCCGTGATGTCCTATCTAGGACATCTCCAAGAGAGGAACGTAACAGCGATACAGGAAATTTCCTTCGTGAAATAATTCCAGGCACATGTACTTCTTTTGAACTTTTCATCTCTTTTGCCACCCCTGCGGAGCGCGGCCGCTTTGGCCGCCTACACGCCGCCTGCACGTGATCCTTTCGCATAACCTCTGGGCTTGAAAGTGCTACGTCACAGCATAGCAACAATTTCAAAAATTCAAAAAATTAATTGGATCCACTTGGATCCAGTTTTTGTATGGATCCAAGCACATTTCAAGCCGTCTTACTCTCAGCAAGGTGATGTTACCAGTGAAACTGACTGATTTGGCTACTGGGGGCGGGGTTACAACTGGTGGCGAAGTAAAAGTCACCCCTGCATACGACATGAGTGGGTTGCTATGCACCTACATACTGAGGCAATAGCAAAGTCACACCTTAGTGGATCCAAAATAGAAATCTGATGTCAACTTAGTACTCCCTGGCCGTTTTTGACGTCATCACTTTCAAGCCTATACTTCAAGGCGTTAGTTAGTTGATGTGAGTGCATGATGTGACCGCTTGACAGTGACAGACACATCGCCATGCGCCACTATACAACGTACAACTCGGCGCTAGGGTGCACGCGATGCTGTAGACTCCTGGTATACTGTGGTCTGTGTAGACTAGGCAGTAGACTAGTACTAGTAGTTGTACTAGTAGTAGGCTAGACTAGCCAGCGGTCATGTATGATGACTGTAGTCTAATCGTCGAGTGGTGCGTTGAGGCCAAACATTTTGAATCTGCTTGGTGACAGAACTACAGCAATCATGCCCGTGCCATGGTCATAATCGAATGTTTGAAAGACGGTGAAGAGAACAAGTATTAGTTGCCTCGGTGTCCTAATCATTGAGACATTTGCTCCGGGAATATTCAGAGTTTCTATAGAACACTCAGTGGTACATGGTGTTCATATCGCTCAGGCCAGGTTCCAGTGTGGCAATCCTTGCGCTCAGGCCAGGTTCCAATGTGGCAATCCTTGCGCTCAGGCCAGGTTCGACTGTGGCAATCCTTGCGCTCAGGCCAGGTTCCAGTGTGGCAATTCTTGCGCTCAGGCCAGGTTCCAGTGTGGCAATCCTTGCGCTCAGGCCAGGTTCCAGTGTGGCAATCCTTGCGCTCAGGCCAGGTTCGAGTGTGGCAGTCCTTGGGCTGTTTGTTGTAGTTTTCAAGCTAACGCCAGCAACGGAAAACCCATGAGTGGATAGTTTGCAGTCGACTACTGACTACTGGTCTGTACTGCAGGTCGTCTTCGGGTGTGGTCACGTGTGGGTGTAGTGGATTGGAGGACGGGTACCGGGTAGTGATTGCTTCCCAATCTACCAGGCAGCACCTGCTGCTGCTGCTGCTGCTAGCGCTGCTGCTCTAATTCCTACTATCTGCTACTCAGAGCTTGGAACGACGTAGCTGTGTCACTGTGTATCGTGAGTAGTTACACTCCACACCAGACCATTGCACATTCTTGCCGACGCTTTGTTCCAGTCGTCAGCAGTTCACCGTGTAATATGGAAGGTGAACGCTTCGCTTTCCTCGTGGAGTGGTATGATTCGCTAGCGGTCATAGTGCGACGCTACAACTTCCTCTTCTATCCTAAAGATAACAGCGTGGAAATGGTGAGTTGCTCACTTGGTGGCACAATCGAGTGTACATGTACATAACCTCGGTACTCTGTGACTCTTGGTTATACAAATGCATGCTGTCTTGTCCCATGTTGTAAGGGGCCGTCCGTATTTTTATCGAACTTTTTCACCAAACGAATTATTTTAGTTTAGACCCAACCCCTCCCTCCCTCCCCCTCAGAACGTAAAAAAATGTTGACATACATGCATATACAACGGCCATGTACAAGGATCAATGTTTACTGAAACGAAATTGGTCAACCCCCTCCCACCCCATAACGAAAATTATTTCGTTTTGTGAAAAAAGTTCGATATTTATGGGCGACCCCTAATAGCACGGTGATGTTCTTGAGCATACCATTGAAGAGCATCATGTTTCCTCGAACCCAGACATGCTCAGAATGTACTATATCCATACAAGTGAGCATGGATCTAACACCAACCCGCGCATGACATACGCTCCCGAGCACGCGCCCGCCCGTGCGCGCTTGCACACACACACACACAAAAAACACATCAACACAAACACATGCACACAATAAAAACCTGGGTGTCGAGCCACTAGTAATAAATATGTCGAGAGAGAATGGACCATAACTAGTAACGTACAGGTACTTTGCCCGTTACACACAGAACACAGCCTTAGTAATACCCATCACCACTCTCATCCCCCCCCCCCCCCCCACCCTTACACACAGAACACAGCCTTAGTAATACCCATCACCACTCTCATCCCCCCCCCCCCTTACACACAGAACACAGCCTTAGTAATACCCATCACCACTCTCATCCCCCCACCCTTACACACAGAACACAGCCTTAGTAATACCCATCACCACTCTCATCCCCCCACCCTTACACACAGAACACAGCCTTAGTAATACCCATCACCACTCTCATCCCCCCACCCTTACACACAGAACACAGCCTTAGTAATACCCATCACCGCTCTCATCCCCCCACCCTTACACACAGAACACAGCCTTAGTAATACCCATCACCACTCTCATCCCCCCACCCTTACATACAGAACACAGCCTTAGGGGTCGTCCATAATTATCGAACTTTTTTCACGAAACGAAATAATTTCGTTATGGGGTGGGAGGGGGTTGACCAATTTCATTTCAGAAAAGTTCGATACATGTACATGGCCATAGGAGCAGTGACACACTTGCGACTTTGTTGTATATGCATGTATATGTCAACAATTTTTACGTTCTGAGGGGGAGGGTGGGAGGGGTTGGGTCTAAACAAAAATAATTCGTTTGGTGAAAAAAGTTCGATATTTACGGACGGCCCCTTAGTAATACCCATCACCACTCTCATCCCCCCACCCTTACACACAGAACACAGCCTTAGTAATACACATCACCACTCTCATCCCCCCACCCTTACACACAGAACACAGCCTTAGTAATACCCATCACCACTGTCATCCCCCCACCCTTACACACAGAACACAGCCTTAGTAATACCCATCACCACTCTCATCCCCCCACCCTTAGACACCGAACACAGCCTTAGTAATACCCATCACCACTCTCATCCCCCCACCCTTACACACAGAACACAGCCTTAGTAATACCCATCACCACTGTCATCCCCCCACCCTTACACACAGAACACAGCCTTAGTAATACCCATCACCACTCTCATCCCCCCCCCCCCCTTACACACAGAACACAGCCTTAGTAATACCCATCACCACTCTCATCCCCCCACCCTTACACACAGAACACAGCCTTAGTAATACCCATCACCACTCTCATCCCCCACCCTTACACACAGAACACAGCCTTAGTAATACCCATCACCACTCTCATCCCCCCACCCTTACACACAGAACACAGCCTTAGTAATACCCATCACCACTCTCATCCCCCCACCCTTACACACAGAACACAGCCTTAGTAATACCCATCACCACTCTCATCCCCCACCCTTACACACAGAACACAGTCTTAGTAATACCCATCACCACTCTCATCCCCCCACCCTTACACACAGAACACAGCCTTAGTAATACCCATCACCACTCTCATCCCCCCACCCTTACACACAGAACACAGCCTTAGTAATACCCATCACCACTCTCATCCCCCACCCTTACACACAGAACACAGTCTTAGTAATACCCATCACCACTCTCATCCCCCCACCCTTACACACAGAACACAGCCTTAGTAATACCCATCACCACTCTCATCCCCCCACCCCTACACACAGAACACAGCCTTAGTAATACCCATCACCACTCTCATCCCCCACCCTTACACACAGAACACAGCCTTAGTAATACCCATCACCACTCTCATCCCCCCACCCTTACACACAGAAC